TTTTTGAATTTTTTTGAATTGAGTATTGAATATTGTTTTTTCATACTTTTTGGCTCGGGAAATAAAAAAAAGGTAGAAAGAATAAGAATAAAAAGCTTAAAACTCATCAAAAAGCCTTAAGCTCTCTTGCATATTTGGAGACTGATAACGGACCTCGGACTTTGGGCCACAAGGTTGCTGAGCCAGGGGCTTATAACGGAGATTATTATTGTTGGTGGGAGTCTTCGGTTGCTCTATTTTTGATTCAAGACGAAACCGCTCGATTTAACGTGTTTGTTTCAAATCGCGTCTCTTGCATACAGGAGTTCACGAAAGCAATGAAATGACGGTACGTTCCCACAACCGTCAATTCAGCCGATCTACTTTCGACAGATGCTCTTCCCAATAAGCTGTTGGCACCTTTGGACCTTTATTTCTTCGCGATTTCAAGGATGACTAATCTGCCACCTGTCGAAAAGGCAACGATTGAACTTTTCGACAGAATCTTATTGACGGCTTCTCCCCAGTACATCGCATCATGGTCCAAGTATGACAACTTGTTTCACGTCTTGCAAAAAGTTTCGCCTTTTTTTAAAAAAAAAAAGCTATCCTATCACTTCGACTTTAGTGGCTCATTTTCTTGAGACGAACCTGTACTCTGGTTCTCGTTACCAATACTGGCCCATTGGGAGATGGAAGACTGTTTCGAGGGGATTGAACAAATTTAAACGTTATTTTCGCACTAAGCCTCGGCAACTGGAGCATGTCTTCCGATTGAGAAAGTCAAAAGTTTTTAATGCTTTGATTTGACATAAGATAAAGTGGTCGAGTTGAAACGAAAATTCCCCAGCCAGGATCACCAGACTTCTCTTTACAAGTTTTGCCTGTCCAGTTGCGGTTTAATTCTCCACGCCCATTTTGACAGTCTGTGGGAAGCCGCCCAACGACAGCAAAAGAGCACCTGTATAGGGGCGTTGGTCCCACAGTTTTTGGCTTCGAGGAATTGAGCACTGTGTTATGCCACATAGCCTCAATCGTTAATTCAAGACCTATTGTATCAATTTCAGAAAACCCTGCTGAATGTCAGCTTCAACGGCGCTTCTTAAGCTTTCATCGACCCAGACCTTATTGCCCTCAATTTTAACCGTCAGGATCTGGAAAAAAAAAATCAACCCAATCGGAAAATTTGTTGAGCACCAAATAAATTCAGCTGTGGTATAGTCCGAGTCTTTATGAGCGCTCGAGACTTTGAGCACAACAGTCTACAATCAGACCCTGTCAAGGCGTAAACTTCGTCAAGACGGTTGGAGGTCGAAGTTAACATACGTGTCGTGTGGCGCTCCCCGAAGCGCAAGCCGCATATAGTACCTTGGCAAATACATAGTGCTTAAAAAAAGTGCCCATCAGGTGTGCAAAGGACTTACCCGTAAGGGAACATAATGGCCTGCTTCGAAACGCCTAAATCCTGGTCTATCCGACGCCAATGGCGCCAATGCTAAGGTACTCTTACCTATACTTTCAGAATACTTTCTCTTCCTGTCGCTCTCTTTGCAGCTCTTTCTGCTTCTGATAGATAGTTTCTCCGAAACTTCCATGAACGTGGCCACCCACCAAAAGTGCTTCCAGCTGATCATTTATGCAGCCCTGACAGTGTGGGGCAATGGAGAGGGAAGGGCGTTTTTGGTAACGTCGTGACCACTAGATGCCGTTACCAAAAAGCGACCACAAAATGTAGTAAGCTCGCCGTTAAAAATGGAGTATGCTGCGGCTGGCCTTGTCCTAGTGCTAGATCTAGCTTTCCTGATTCGGGTAGAAGTGTTTCCCCAACCATGCCGACTCTCAGAAAAATCATCCCAAAACCCCTAACTCTCCACTAAATCCCTCCTCGCGCCCGGGCGCGGGAGCCTAGAATACTACCGGGACAAGTTCCGTTTTTTCGTGGGAGGCCACTGACAGGGCCAAGGGATATCCCTGCAGGATGAAAGGTCCCTACCAGCAAAGTAGCCGGAAGCAACTCGCAACCTTTCTTCGCACCCCGAACGGCATCTCTTCAAAAAAAGCGAGAAAGCGACTAGGGCTGCGTCTACTAAAGCCCTGGGATAGGATACTGTAACAAACGAGCCCTAACGAAACATGGGCTGACGGACAGCTGTATTCTGGCACCTGAGTATGCGGAGTGAACTCCCGCTGAAATAGCTGCCAAACCAATGCAGCTTCTGCCATTACAGACGGAGAGTCAGCTTTCGTGAAAAGCTGAAAAATAACCAGATCACGAAGCACTGAGCTGGATGGTACCCTTCCAATTTCAGGAATCCGCGTGGAGCAATACTGCAAGACGTCGGGAAGCTAATTGAAATTTAGGCGGACGGTAATGCAGGCCCTTCCATCAGCCTTTGAGGGACGCTGACCACAGCACCCGAGCTCTCTTCGAGCGACTGACCACGCAGACGGACGAACAGGGACGCAAGGAAGCGACTAAATCCCACCAGACGTCATAAACCTCGCCCCTTTCATAGACCCCGCAATATCACGCGGCGCATGAAGGAGTCTTTGCTGGCAGCGACGCAAATGACGACGGGAGTCTAGGCGTCAGCGCATGTCGTGGAACCGGCAAAATAGACGAGTAAAGACGCCCAATAATGGAAGTTAGTAGGCCCCAAAAAGAAGCAGCTGAAGAAACACCGAGGGACTAACCCATTGGCCAATTAGAAGCGAAAGCCGGACACACTTGTCATCACGGTCAAGGGTGAATCGAGTTACGCCAATATCCTGCGAAGCAGGACAAGAAGCTCAGGAAATCAGGAGAGAAAATAACTGGATTCAAAGCACTGGGCTCTAAATCGATAGGGGATCAGCTGGAAGTGCGCCCACAAATCTTCAAAGTGTGTTGCAGTCAAATACTGCCTCCAATTCACTTTTTCTGTCACTAATTCAGCCAGAAACTATCCCTTTTCCAACTTCACTAACGTTTCGGCGGAACGAAATCGAAACGAAGCTAAAGCCAGAAAAGGCATACTGACCATAAAAAGTCGATGCAAGTCGAACTTCCGAAATGCATTATTGGGGTCGTCCTTAAACTATTCAATGGGATCATTATTCTTGGCTATTTTCTAAAACGGTTGAAGAAATCCATTATAATAATACCAAAGCCTAGAAGAGACGACACCATTCCTTCATCGTGTCTTTTTTCAACAATCAACAAAAACAATTTAAACATGTAGTAAAAAAGTTGCCTGCATTGGACGAATTTTTTCTATAGCTCACATAGCACCGTAGTAAGACTGAATTGGCAATGATGCCAAAAAATACTTCCAGTATAGTTGAATTGCTTAAATTTCATTTTTGGCTGTATGTATGTGCTATATTTAAATTATCTTTTGTATAAATATGTGAAAGTGTAACTCCTCCCTTTTACCCCAGCCAGCCCCCCACCCCATCAATTCCTTCCACAAGCTATACGAAATACAAAAAAAAAATGGTTTTTAGTTTTTCCAATCGTTTATAAGAATAAAAACATTTATTTTAATTATTAAAAGTAATGTGTAAAGTTTAATAAAGATCTAACAATTCAAATGATGATAAAAATGTATGACTTATTATGATTTATGAGTAATTTCTTATTGGTCAATTTTAGTTTCAACAATTGCGCTTTTGATTTGATTATATTTTGACCAATAAGCAATAATTTTTTTGCAAATGTAACTAATACAATTGTCATGATAATTTATCTCAACTGCCTTTGTTTTCAATATTTTCTTTTATTAAACAAATCACACTACGAGTTTTTTCTGCATTTGTCCCCTTTTGAGTGCACCAAATATCAAAAATGTATATGCGTCAACATTCGAAGTTACATGAAGCGACTAAAGCTAACGGCAACATAAAAATTAAAAAAAAAAAATAATAGTCAAAATTTCCGGTAAAAAGAAATGACAAAAACAAAAAACAAACGAAGAGCAACAGTCTGAGTAATTATTATATGCAAATAAGCAATTACACAGTGCGACAGTGATTTGGAACTTTTGAAGAGACCTATAGAGAACATAATAGAGAAAATATAAGAGAATATAGTAAAAAACCATGTTTGAAATTTTTCTAACACCCTCGAAACCTTGAATTATTTAGAAAAAACCGTTTTTCGGAACTTTTTTGCTCTTAAAAATTTCTAAGCGCGTAATTTTAAACCAATTTTAAAATTTTTAACGTTTTTTAATAGTTTAATGTTGTAGCTTTTGAAAAAAATAGATCTTTAATTTATTTTAACAAAAAGGATACAATTTTTACACAAGTAACTGACATTTTCAAATTTTAGTCGTGTTTTTTGGACTTTGACGCCATTTTTTCGGTACAACTTCCAAGAAATGGTATAATTTTTGACAATATTAATATCAATATTGCCTCGTTAATTCTGAATAAAACGATACCTTCGTTTTTTGTGTCGCACTGTGTTATCAGCAGATAGACTTAACATTTTAATTACCTTAAAACATTAACAAATACACTAAATTAAACACGTGCTCACACATTTTATTCTATCACATTTTATTATTCCGAATTATTATTCCCATAGAATTCCGAGCCAAACCGGTTCGCCAATCCAAATTTTGGATTTGCATTACATTATGACTAATATTTTTTGATTTTTGTCCTATGGATGCAATCACTGTGCCATAAGGACGTGCCAAAATTCCTTTAACTTACTTAAATTCGAAATCATAGAATTGGACGATATTGTTAAGAACCCAGTTGTGTTTCCGTTCCCAATAGTCTTTAGACTTGCATTCAGGCTGTTCAATAATTATTATAACCTTAAATCAGTGGTCGGTATGCAGAAACACATTTTTAGTGCGTTTGTTTGCGTAGTGAACAGACCATAAGTTTTGCGTCTCTGCCGCGTCGAAGTTTTTGCATAGGCAATTTTCTGTCGCAGCGCCAAAAAAACACGGTTACTGTTGGTGTGTCGACTGCGCTACCCAAAATTTGTCCCTAAACACAAGTTTTCGAAGTCAACAGACCTTAAGTTCTGCGTCAGAAATTCATCTCGTTTTTTATTGCAGTAAAAGCACACAAAATCGATATTGAGTAATTTATATATTATACTGAACAAATTTTTTTAGATTGATCATTTTATAAAGTATACAATGATACTATAATTTTGCAACGCGATCAATTATAACAAGATGAGTGTCCAAAAAGTTAAGCTGGGTTGTTTCGCTTGTTAATTCGTAACCGAGCCAGACCAGTGCGTTCTTCTTCTTCGTCACTTGTGTATTGCTGCAGGCTTGTGCCACCGACGCTACCCACTCGAACTGAAGATGTGGCCTGCATAAGTTCTTGGTCAGGAGCATTTCGATTTTCATAAAGTAAGACTTGGAGTGTTTCTTCGTAAATACGTGCTTCGGGAAACTCAACCTTGGTATGCTTTCGATCAGTAGCATAAACTATCGAAGTACAACACACTTCAGCAACTTTCTTAGCATGACCGTAAAAGGACCAGCAACATATTTCGCTTGGACCAATAACGTCTTTGATAAACAAAATGCGTTCGTTAAACCGCAGTGATAGCTTATCAAAAAGTTCTATATTTTTAAGTAAGTTGTCATCTGATGTACTTGTGTATGAATATTTATTGTTTTGACGCTGTACCACCAGAATAACCGCTGGTTTCGACGATCCACTTATTAAAAGCTGCTCCTCTTTTTGTGAAGTTATCAAAGGAATACGACAAATTGGCTTTGGTTCTTGGTGTGCATACAAGGCCCTTTCGCAGGACAAAGCCAATTCTGTAATGCAATAATATTTTGCTTCGGCATGTAATTCGGCTATTTCCTTGTTGGTTTCGGGTAGTGGTACAGAACTGTCACGTAAAAAATTAAGAATAATTCCGAAATGATTCCCGCAACGATCGATTAAAATCCAACCTAAAAAGAACGTTGTGATATTTTAAGTTAACTTATTACATTGGATGCATACATACCTTCTGAATCAGTTAATACTTCCATACGACCGCTAAACATCGCGCTGAGCATTGTATCATTATGTTTAGTCAATGTGCCAACAGTCGTATAGTACAAACTACCACCGACATTTAATTTAACATACTGAGAAGATTGACCTTTCAGCAACAATTTCTGATCCCCTGACATATTTTGCGTTTTTTCATGAAGTTGATAATCTTTAAACCTTGCTTCCGATTGTAAAAGAACCAAATCATCAACACAACTCAGCACTGGTTTAGCACTACAAGTTGGGTCGACGCCCTTTTTCTTAGACGTATTTAACGCAATTTCACTATCCCTGCTCATATCGAGTGCATAGTCTACTTTTATTTAATCAATTAATATAAATGTTAAAAAAAACAATATAGAAATTTTTGAAATATATTAAAGAAATTTCCGTAATCAATGGAGAATTTATGGCCTGGTGTGACCAAACATTTAGATAATTATTGACAAGTTTGTATTTATGTATACTTTTTGATGTACGTCAAATTAGCGTCGCTCAGTTAGCGTCGAAGTGGAACGGTGGAATTGCAACACAGCAACGAATATTTTGTTTTTCAATTATTTCCGTATTTAGCCACTAAATTTAATGAAATAAACACTAGAATTGTTAAGAATTGAATAAACTATTGTTTTTTCTTACTTTGAGCGGGTTCTTCACTCTTTAAGTAGCTTAAAAATGGGGTTGAAAAATTGCCCCTATACTGTATTGAGCATTATCTCAGAAATAAGAGGATGCGCCAATAAGCGCGATACACCAGCTTATAGCCCATTCTTTTGAGAATATGCCCTGAAAATTTCATTAAAATCGTTCCCTACGTTTTGGAGCAAATCGACTAAAAGTGGACCAACCCGGCTAACAGCCCATACAAAAATGACCCCAAAAAATTGTTTTTAAAATTGTGAAGCTCCAAGAGGATGCGCCAATATGCACGGTAGTGGAGTCGATGTAGGACCTTTTCAAGTATATATGGACCAAAAATCATACAAATCGTTCCCACAGATTTTGAGAAAATCGAATTACAGTTTCCCATATAATTTGAACTAATAAGAGGAGCGCCAACCAATGAACCGGAACCAGTCCGCAAAAAGTTCATTGAACTAGTTTAAAAATACTATATGGCTCTGTTAGACTTATTAAGTCCTTCACAGAGGATGCGCCATTATGCACGGTATACCGTTGAAAAGCTTATTTTATACAGAACATTATAAGACAACTTTTATTTAAATCGCTCCCACAGATTTAAAGAAATCAAGTCCCGAAAATTTCAGACCCTGATTCACCAACACTGGCCATTAACAGCATCACATATTTCTGCGCTGCCTAACACGGCGCTAGCCGTTATGGAATTTGAATGCCCCCCTAGCTTTTTTTAAAGAGGATGCGCCATTATGCACGGTATACCACGAGAAAGCTAATTTTTAGCCCGTTCGAATGGTACCAGTGCCATTAAAATCCTTCCCACAGATTTTTAGAAATCAAGTCCCGAAATTTTCGGGACCTGGTTTGCCAATACTGGCCATTATCATTTTTCCGTGTTTGCACGCTGCACAACACGGCAGCCGCCATTATGTATGTTTGCCATTTTTAAAGAGGATGCGCCATTATGCACGGTATACCACGAGAAAGCTAATTTTTAGCCCGTTCGAATGGTACCAGTGCCATTAAAATCCTTCCCACAGATTTTTAGAAATCAAGTCCCGAAATTTTCGGGACCTGGTTTGCCAATACTGGCCATTATCATTTTTCCGTGTTTGCACGCTGCACAACACGGCAGCCGCCATTATGTATGTTTGCCATTTTTAAAGAGGATGCGCCATTATGCACGGTATACCACGAGAAAGCTAATTTTTAGCCCGTTCGAATGGTACCAGTGCCATTAAAATCCTTCCCACAGATTTTTAGAAATCAAGTCCCGAAATTTTCGGGACCTGGTTTGCCAATACTGGCCATTATCATTTTTCCGTGTTTGCACGCTGCACAACACGGCAGCCGCCATTATGTATGTTTGCCTTTTTTTAAAGAGGATGCGCCATTATGCACGGTATACCACGAGAAAGCTAATTTTTAGCCCATTCGAATGGTACCAGTGCCATTAAAATCGCTCCCACAGATTTTGAGGAATCAAGTCCCGAAATTTTCGGACCCTGGTTCGCCAATATTGGCCAATATCATTTTCCCGAGTTTTAACGCTGCCCAACACCCCAGCCGCCATTATTAATGTTTACCTTTTTTTAAAGAGGATGCGCCATTATGCACGGTATACCACGAGAAAGCTAATTTTTAGCCCATTCGAATGGTACCTGTGCCATTAAGGATGTAGTCTCATGTGTGAGGTTGAAAAAATTGTTTTCACATATTTCGATAGTATTGTTTATTAAGAATGTACTGTTAAAGTTTCAAATAAAAATATCAAATAATGGCAGAGATACAGCCCATAATCGAAAGCGCGCCTACACCGAAAAGAATGAGTTTCTCGGTAGCGTTTAAACTTTAAACGCGTTTTTCTCGGAACGACATTTTTGTGTGCGGCGCAGGTGATTTACAAAATTCTATGTTACCAATCTAGCTGAAATTTGGATATGTTGTTCTAAAAAGTAACACCTCTGTCCCGTACTATAATCATTTATTTTTAATGATTAGTTTTTTTTTATCATTAATTTAAAATCAATTTTTTAAATTAAAAAAAAAATTTTTTTTTGTGTGTTTGCCATTTTGTTGTTTATTGATGAAAATATTTCATTCTAGTATGGGACAGAGCCATAAGCTTACAAAACAATAATCTATTCTAATTTTTTGTTTCGGATGACTCTAGCAGTCGAAATCACCTGCGCCAGGGACCTACCTTTTTTTTTATATGCATTTTTTGGCATGCTATAAAGTGTATTAAACTACACAAGAATAAATTAAACAAAATATTTTCAAATAGTTTATGATGCCTATAAAAACATATGTGAAAATTGAAACGATCGCATTATTTTTTATTACAAAATAAATTTTTTGAAATAACCTCTAAAAAGTAGGCCGGAACATGAGACTACATCCTAAAAATCGCTCCCACAGATTTTAAGGAACCAAGTCCCGAAATTTTCGGACCCTGGTTCGCCAATTCTGGGCATTATCATTTTCCCGAGTTTTGACGCTGCCCAACACCCCAGCCGCCATTATTAATGTTTACCTTTTTTTAAAGAGGATGCGCCATTATGCACGGTATACCACGAGAAAGCTAATTTTTAGCCCATTTGAATGGTACCTGTCCCATTAAAATCGGTCCCACAGATTTTGAGGAACCAAGTCCCGATAGAAGCTGGGGACTATTTTTTAGATATTTTATTGTAATTAATTGGTTTTATTATGATATTCTCATAAGGATTGGCCGATCATAAGGATATCCGATTTTTGCGATATATTTCCGGTTTTAACTGCAACTATTTTATTACCGCAATAATTATTTTAAATCAGTGCTCGGCACTCAATACATCAAACGAATATTGGCAACGAATAGCATAAAATAGGCTGTGAGCATAGCGTTTCTCATATTAATACTGTGTGTGTGGCTGAGCTCGGGCAGAAAAATTTTCCTATGCCCCTAGAATAGACCCTGCCGACCACTGTTTTAAATTTATATTTTTACACCCAAGTATAAATAAAAACAACAAATGACTTCTCCGGTAATGGAAGATTTATTTAAGTAAGTTTTTTGTTAAACAATGTAAATTTTCAAAATCAAATGAATTTGTCAGTATGACCGAGAACATTATCAATACTCAAAACTAAGACCCCCTGCATTAATTAATTTTTAGCTAATGGACCTCTATAAGTGGCATTTTGCATTCTAAAAAAGGTATCGTAGATGTCTTCAAGATATTCATCCATTTATGCTAATCCATGATGGGTTTTTATACTCCATTATAGGAAAAGTATGCCCAGAAAACTATACTGTACCCTCAATACTTAAGCATTTTTGTGTTGTGACTTTAATATACCATACCTTTTTATATAATGTACCATCAGAATTAACCACTTTGAGCGTCGTGCCATTCGAAGGCTACTTGGAAAACTACATCTATGCTCTGTGTAATTTGTCGCGCATTTGAAGGTGGCACATTTCATTTAATGAAGACTAATAAATTAACTTTAAGTCATCGAACTGGCTTTAAGCGAACTGTTTAAGCCATCATTTTGTATTTTGAGGTCCGTTAAAATCTTTTTTGGATTTTAGCAAAACCACCTTGCCGTGACGCAGTACTATATTGACTTTCGCAGATCAATATTGATTACTTCTATAAGTTGTATCAATACGTACGGCTTAATTAGGTATTTTTTTGGAAAATTTGACTAAGCAACCAAACTCATTTTGCAAGATTTCTATCTCTATATATTTTTAAATAATATTACGTTTTTTCACATTGCAGTGGTTTCCGCGTCAAATTTTAACCTTACGTACTTTTTTTTTACCTAAATATATAATTTAAGCTTAAATCTATTAAAGTGGTTAATTTTATCAAGGTAAGGGATCAAATTTCAGTGAATCTGTAAGTAAGTAGTGAAAGTGTGGCTATTATTTTTCTTGTTGCTTTAACGGGTATTTTTAAAAGGATATTTCAAATGAATATCTAAAAAGAATTTTGGGTAAGAGTAGGACTGTTTTCAATTGGGGGAATAACGAACCATATAATAAATTTTTAAAATTATAATTCATTTTAACGGTAAATTTTTTTTTTTATTTATTTTTTGCCAATGTTATTCGTACCGAACACCTTCGCCTTTTATGAAGAATGATCCATTTATTCCAGCTATTCTTCCACCCATCTGAACCGTCCTAGGGGCCGGCCCGTCCCCAACGTAGCTTACCCTTTTTTTGACTCTAGATCTGTTCCTTGATTTGACTCTAGCTGGTTGTTTGCCGGCCGTTGTACCTAATAGCTTCTTTTTTAACGTGCTCCTGATTTAGCAGGATGTTTCGTGGCCCTTTCTTTCGCACATCTGCGCCTGCCTTTTTTTTTATTATAGGTGTTTTCGCCTTAACTGGTCGTTTTCTTATCCTGCTCCAACGTAGCTTGTTCTTTTCCAGGTCCAGACCTGTGCCCTGTTTCTTCCATAGCTGCTCGTTCTTCAGCCGTTTGTGGGCAACAGCATTTCCTTTCCTGGAGCATGTTCCTTTAATTCCAGCTCTTCTTTTCAGCTTTCATAATCAGCTTGCCCTATAACTCTCCAACCTGTATCAACACTTGGATGTAAATGTAGTTTTTAACGAATTTTCAAAGCCGCACAGTATGAGTTCGACGCTTCTGAAAGAATTCGGCGCTCTGCAGTAGATAAGAGGACTTTTTTGGCGCGTCCTTCCACGTTATTCCCATAATTTGCGGGGTTTTTAAGGAAATTGCAAATACGTATGTATG